TAATAATATTTCGATCACCTACTGTCAATTCACTTATTTCTATCTCAATTAGGCTGCAATCTCGATGCCTTATGGGAACTTCAATCGCTGCTTTTGAGGTTAGATGCGCACATCAGAAATTTGTCGACTTAATCCGTAGAATATTGTACTTTTTGCTTAACAGCAAGTGAGCACTCATGAATTGACTATCTCGGGAAATCAAAGGAAATTTAACCAGTTTCGCATGCATCCCGAAGCGATAACAAGTGCTTAAACAAATTCTTTAAAATGACCACAGAAAATTCATATGTGAGCACTCACTGAATACGCATGCCCTTTAGAAGTGTTCCTTGAAGTGTGTTGACATTTTGAAACTGCTTTCTGGAATAATAAACATTTTCAAGTAATCATTTCAGAGTGGTTCCTAGATTCCTTCCCAGGGAGGCATTTTCTTCTGAGTAAACTTAACATTACGTTGACTTTTTTCTGTGTGAACCGTTCGCAGCATTTATTGAAATTCAAATGTGATATAAGTGACATTGTGGTTGTCTGATATTGTGATCTGTTCTTCAATCTGTACGTCTCAGTCGTTTCGAATGAGAAAAGTGCATAATATAATGAAACATTGCAGTGATTTCAACGAAGCTCATTTTAAAAAGACTAAAATTCCGAAAAAATTTCATGGTTTTACCCATATCAGCTGGATTTTGAGGCAGGAGACTTCGCTTTCTTCATTCATATGAATGGATGAAATTGTGATGAAATCATAAGCAATTTTCATCGTTATAACACTCTTCTCATGTCATTTCAGGTTTCTATGTTGTTCAGAATAATATACTTTGATATTGTTGTGTTTTCGATGAAAGTTTCACTAGTGCATATTGTTTGTGATGAACATTTCTTGAATGCGGATCTCTTCACTTGAATTATAATTTTGAAATGATATATCATAGTTATGCTGTACTTGTATTATTCCGTTTATATGTGTGCATTTTAAATTATTGTTATCATAAAAGATAATATTACTCTGGCAGGAACACTTCGATTGGTACTACTGATTATAGATTCTGTTGCTGCTGGAGTCGGCGGAATATGTGAATAAAACAATTCATTGACTAGGTGGTGATCTTGCAGCGTTGTATGCAACATCAGAAAATGTGAACTCGCAAGAAGAAACTGATTCGCTAGTGTTGAATCAGATCCGTGATTACAGCAACATTAACTGATCCAAAAATTTTTTGAAGCATTAAACGTTCCCGAAAAAGTGGCAAGATGCCTTAAGTGATCAGTGAATATCACGATGTCTTCGGCAAATACTGTCTATGATCTGGTCACATCAACTTGATGAATAGAATACGATCTGCACAGTAATCTTGATAACGACCAAAGAGAGGTAAAATCGAAACTTGAAAACAAACTTATAGCTTCCCACTTATCAAAATGTTTTCGGTAAGTAACTGACTATGAGCAAATCCACTGTTGTTCCATGATCTCAACTGGCACATTTCAGAAATAATTGTGAGCAGTTTTTTAAACTTAAAATATTGCGTCGATTTCCCAGATAACAACGCAAATCGGGTAATATCCACAACTTCTCAGTTCGCTTACAATTTGAGAAAATAGTAATGATTAGTATTATTACCTCTTGATCCATAATTTTTGAAGCAATCGCCACTAAGATGTGTCACTAGCATACTGTTGCTCCCATTCTACAGCATTGCTGAGAATCTAGATTCGGCTATCAAATTTCATTATTTAGAAGTGAAATAGCGTTTAATACAGCAAAAACTTTGAACTGAAAGCCTTCGAAGAAGGGAGAAGATCGAACTCGCCTGACTGAGGAGGTGTACAGTCGATACCGTATCACTAATTGGATGACATTTTAGGATATAAAATTTGGATGCAATAAATATCAACAATTTGCTATCTTGAACAAACAAGCATTGATTCTGCTGCATACTGAGACCAATTACTTTCTGATGCAATGCAAAAAATTAAATTTTATCTCAATTTGCCGATTGTATGTACTTTAATCTCGTTCACTCTCTGATCTGCCCGATTACTTTAAAATTTCTCTCACCGTCACGTCACCATCACGGCCACATCTCCATGACTAGCATCAATATAACCGTGACAAAATGGCAAATGTCAACGACATCTTTCCTATCTCATTGAATGGAGAATCCGAATCTATCATTTTATGGGAGCTTTTTATTTTTTTTGGCCAACATCGATCAGATTTCACTCATCAGCAGTCATTAAAGGCGCCATCCCATAAACATTCCGATCGTCCGGCTCTGACCATTATTTATGGTTTATTCTCAAATGCTTCAACAAACAACGCACACACATAAGCTTATCTTTCGATCGTTGATGCTGATGCAGTTGTTTTATCCAAGTGTTTGTTCGCCTCGAAAAGCGCACTGCAGTTTGTTCCTGTCTTCGAAAGTGACTTTCAAGACGCGATAATACAGAATTCAAAGAAAATTCACAAATATAAACAGTATACTCTTTAGAAAACTGCAATGACCATACGGCAATTGGGTAGAATTTTTGCAACCTCAAGCAATTTGCAGCCAAAAATACCTAAATTCCACGGAATTCAATCAGGGGTGGTATTCCAAGAAAAAGAATTATAGCCTATGGTTTGTTGACTGATCATGTGAAACTGATCAGTCAACAAACAAAAGACTATAATCATAGAACTTTTTCATGATTGCTCGGTATACAATGGAAAACCATGTTACTGATAATGATATTGATAAGCGCATTCTTTAAAAACAATGGAGTGATAATGGCATTCTTTCGGTCCATCTGAAATGCATACGAATGATTGAGGTGAAAAAAAAGAGGATATTTTTTGAGATGACGTTTCAGCTTGATACAACTTCTATAAAAGGGAACACCTCAAACACTGATCCAAGTCGTTCATCTGCAACGCTCACCTCAAGTACCGTATCAGTGATGCTTGAATTGAGCAATTTTTGTCCGCTAGTCAGGCCATGCTTGATTTCTCAGCGTTCGCGCAGCATTTGTTGGGATGTTCTCACATTCCAAATATGTTCGCGTTTCCCAGAAGCTTTTCAGACACGTTCCAATAGATCGCAATAGAACGCACCCAAAATTGGTCCAAAAGACTGCAAAATTTACCATCGCATAAGGTGTCAGTTTGTCACGGTAAATGATTCTTTCTTGTCCTGTGCACACTTTTTGATTGAAATCGCTCTTCAACTAGTACTACTGCACAATAAATTTCACTTTGAAATTTGACGCAGTCATCAAATTGCTTAGCAAAGATTACGATTTTGTTTGTGGGCCTCTGTTTCGCTCCAAATGCGCAATTATAAATGCAATCTAGTCGCAGAGGAGCCGGGAGTAGTACTGCGAAAATTAATGCCAGAAATAAGTTCGCATCTAGCAGACACAATCTTGCAAATCGCCTGTAATGAGGTCAGCCTTAGGAAGCACGATGTGATATGCTTTACCGTAGTTTTGCATCATGTTTTATGTGAGAACGGAAGGATGAAGCGTGGAAATTCATCACTTTGCATTTTCAGTCAGCTCATTTGGGATAATCTTTCAATTGTAAAGCGTTTGGAAATCACTGCAGAGAAGAATCAACAGGGATGGACATACTCACTTCGACCGTTTCGGCCATCATGACCACCACCCAAATAACTCTTCATGAGTTTAGGGTAAACTATTTGGAAATCTCAAAACTCTAAATGCCCTTGTACTGAAACATCAGTTTGTTGTCCATGGTACATAACTGGTTGATCATTACGAAACTCTCGAATTGACTGAAGAATGCAGAAACTTCGAAAATTTCCTCATTCTATTTGATAGAATTCCATTGAGAAGAGATGATTATTTAAGAGATGACTGATTTCTCAAAACTTCAGAGTGAATTGCTATGGGCACTGATCGTCGGTATCATCCTGGCGTTCGTGCTTGGCTTCGGCATGGGCGCCAACGACGTGGCGAACGCATTCGGTACTTCGGTTGGCAGCGGGGTTCTGACCCTGAAACAAGCCTACGTTCTCGCGACAATTTTCGAAACACTCGGAGCGCTATTGGTTGGTTACAATGTAACGGATACAATGCGAAAAAATGTCATCGAAATTGGTCTATATGAAAGTCAACCAAAAGAACTGCTCATTGGTCAGGTGGCCATTCTTGCAGGTATTATCTCGTACTGCATCACCAGTTGCATCATAACTGGACATTGAGCACAAGTTCATAGCAGCATTCTAGTTTGATTGCATATGAGGCATCGATCGCTCGCTAAGGAATATAAAATTGTGGTGAAGCTAGCCGTAAGCAGTCGAACGAGATTGATCTGCTCAGAATATTTCAGAATAGAACGGGATCAAAATCACAGTGATTTCGAAGTTTGCAATGAACGTTTGTAGAATTTGAGTTTTTTTAAATCAAAAATTGAAGGAGTGAATCAGTTCAGGTTGCTCAGCATGGCTGATGATTGCTACTCTGTTGCGTCTTCCTGTCTCAACAACACACAGCCTGACAGGTGCAACTGTCGGTTTTGGACTAGTTACTCGTGGTGCATCCGGTATTCACTGGAAACAAATCGGAGCTATTGGTAAATTTTACTGCGAATCTTTTTACGCTTATCGATTATGTAAAGGACTATGAAAAATCTGTAGCATTGAGAT